GGTTGTAAGTCTTGCACACCCTAAAGTTGAGAACTGCTGTCTTGGGCATTTCACAACTGCATCTCTTTAGAGCATGTTAAGGGAAAAACACTCTTGTTTTCTTTGTACCCACAGTGCTACCCTCACTCGGATCACCAAATGTGCAGTAGTTTCTTCCCCCACACCAAACAGTCTGAGACACGTTAGGTGTCTTATAACTTAACTCGGTTTTTATGCTACTGGGAGATAGTGAGGGATCCCGCAGGTTAAGGCCTCCCCACCTCACTTCACACACCAATCACAAGACCAGGTATACACTGGAGGTTCATATAACTCCTCCTGGGGTTTGATTAATTTGCTAGAGCACCTCCTAGAACTTCCAAGAGGTTTACTGATCGGATTACTGGGTTATTATAAAAAAAAAAAAAAAAGATCTAACTCAGGAACAGCCAGAGGGAAGAGATGCGTAGGGCAGGGTATGGGGGAAGGTACAAAACTCTTCCTTTCCATATCCTCCTGGGGTTTACTACCTTCTCAGCACCTCCACACATTCAGCAAGTGGAAGCACTCCAAACCTGTTCTTTTTGGTTTTTTAAAGGAGACTTTATTATGGAGACATGATTGATTAAAGTACTGGTCATTCAACCTCCAGTCCCTCTCCCTTCCCAGAGGTCAGAGGGGGGTAAGACTGCAAGTTCTAACCTTCTAATCACATAGTTACTTCCCCTGACAACCAGCCCCCTAATCTTAGGGACTTTCCAAAGGTCATTGAATTGAATTAACGTAAATTCAGATGTCATTGAAAGGGGTTTGCTATAGATAACAAAAGACACCCCAATATTCATTCTGGAGCTATTTCAGAAGCTGAAAAAGAAAGATACTATAAAAAACACAATTACATTTTAGTAAGAGTTAGCAACATATAAAATTGCTTTTTGTTCCAGCAAATAATTCTAGAGTTCTGCTCAAGAAATCACATATGTTCCCCAAAATAGTGAAAGAAACTGTAAGATTCATAAACCAGATGGAGAGGGATTTCACAATTCTCAATTTAATGTATATATCATGAGAGTACTTCAAACTGCTTAAGTGAAATAATTATAATTTTTGAAGTTACATTTAATCAACTAAAATCCAGTGTAAAGCTTCACAAATCTTGCTCTCACAAATCTCTCCTACAGAACACATAAGTTTCTTTATTCAGAAAAGTGACTCTAAGACAATTTCATGACACATTAAAAGCAATTATCTTCATAACACTTTGGACTTTTCTTATACCAAAGTAGTAATAACTCAGGATATGAACATCTATTTGAAAGCAGGTCTCATATACAGGCAAGCCTCCTTTTATCCGTGCTTCACTTTATTTCACTTCACAGGTGTTGCATTTTTTACAAATTAAAGGTAAGATCTTCCACCAGGAAAAAAAAATTACTTTATTTCGATAATTGCTTTACTACAGTGGTCTGTAACCATGTCCACGATATTGGTGTATAGGTTTTATAGTGTTTGGTTATAATTATGTTTCATATATACAAGGAGCAGTTGTTAAATAGTCCGTGTTAAAATGGTATCGATGACTGAATACTACTACTACCTTCTTAGTTCAGCAAATTGAATTTTTGAAATCTCCAAACTGTAGTTAGAGCTACCTTATATTGCCAATTAGGTTGTCAATCTGAATTTAGAGATATTACCAACTCATGGATGAACTTCTTTACTTTTCTGATAAATTGTATATCGTCTAACCAGAACAACTGGAAGTACAACCAGTCAATTGGTTGGAAAAACATGCTAATTCCAAATGAAAAATTTAGGCCAGCAAGCAGACTACCTAAGCATTATAATTAAGGATAATTGTTCATCTTAGCAAAGTGTGTCACAACTACTTTTAAACGTGTAGTAGGAAGGGGGGTTTGCAACCCTGGACTGAGCATAATTCCAAATTCAGAATTCTTAGAAGGAATCCAGTGTAAATAAGAAGCAGTAACAACTCAATCCACATTTTTAATCAAGAAGTATTAGCCTGTTTTTAAACTTACAGAACATATACTCAGAGAAGATTAGAGTCAGGTCTTGCATTTGACAAACAGTCACAAGGACATACAATGTACCCTGTACTACCACATGCTGGATACACATAGAAAACAAATATGGTCCTTGATTTCAGAGAGCTTATTGCCTGGAGGGGAAGATAGGCCTTAGACCAGTGGTTCCCAATGTGAGGCACACGCCCCACAGATTTTTAGGGGGATTGGGGGGGGGGGGAGCAATTTGAGAATGAGTTATTATCAGTGATTTTTTTTGCATTTCTATGGCTCTAGGGGCCTCGTATACAGTATATAAGTATATACTTTGACATATTTATGCATTTCAGTTCTCTATTATGTTTTAAAACTTTGCTATTTTTTCATATCATTCATTTTTTTTTTTTAACAATTAGTGATTTCTTCCTCAATACTTCAACTGTCCTGTTGTTCTTTTCATTTTCTCTTTCATGGATGCTATGTTCTTTGGAAGCTTGTTTAGATCAAGTTAATGGCCTTTAGGCTTCCTCCACGTGATAGTGCACTTTTTGAATAATAAGAATTATATGTGGGGGGGGGGGGGGTGGGAGGGGGCAATCAGGATTTTAGAGATGCTTAGGTGGGGCATGGCCACAAAAAGTTGAGAACTACTACCTTAAGACATTAAACAAATAATAATAATAAAAAAAAAGAACTGAAATTACATGTTGTGGTTATTTCCTGTTTGTGTTGCATCTTTCTTAGTAGGTCACTGTGATCACACCCTTCTTTTAAGAGTATTCTGCAGAGAAGCTCCATTGTCATTTAATCATCAGAGACAATCAGTTGTAGCTGGGAGACTTGAAGACATATAATGGTAGAAAATTAATTTAATAGCTTTTATCATGAGAGCTATCATGGAATTTATTCCAAAAAGTACAAAATGTTTGTCTATACACCTATATTAGCTAGAGAACTTCTATTTATAAGGTAGGATTTCACTAGTCATTTGTTTTCTTAAATTCTGTGCATGACAAAATCCAGCTTTCCCACTGAATTTTCTTATCCTAACACATTTTGAAAACATCAGTGCTCCAGTATTCAATTAAATGACTCTGGGTTATAAAGATTTATAAGAAAAATCATTTAAATTTAAAATCAGCACTGAATTTATATTCAAGTTAACCTTCGGTGTGAATTATTTCCAGAGACAGCTTGTTTGCCTAGGTAGCTCAAAGTATAAAAAATATCCAGGTCTTTAAAGGTATTATCCTGATTGTAAACGTTTTATCTCTGCACGTTGTTCTAAATATATATATATATATATATATATATATATATATATATATATATAGAACAACGTGCAGAGATAAAACGATTTTATATATATATATATATATATATATATATATATATATATATATATATATATATATATAATCTGTAAACTGGGAGAAAAGGGGAGGAGTAAAAGTTCACAAAGGAGTTTAAATGAGAGTCATCTTCCCCTCCCTACCTCGCCAAATTTAAACAAACCCTAAGCTTTGGAGGAAGCGCGAGCGCGCGCGAACACACACACACACACACACACACACACACACACACGCACACACGCGCGCGCACAGACGTGCACACCCATGCACACATGCACACGCGCGCGCACAGGCACACACGTGCGCACACACACACCTTCCTTCTGACCTCAGTTGCTGCTGACTACCTCCCGTTTTCCTGCATATTTGAAGTGTTATTAGTTGGTACTTAAATATATTTTTAACCATTTCTTTCTCCCATTTTTTTCTCTGAGATTATCTGAGTACGTTCTTTCGCAGCTTGCCTTATTTCTACCTCTGGCAATAACATTCCTGATAAAGACGCATATCCTGGTAATTGACTTGCTTTCTCAGCAGTTGAAAACACTTTACTGTGCCAGGTGCTAGGGTCCCCGCCTTACCGAACTTAGTGCTCAGTGGCCCAGTAGCTAGCTCCTTTTAATTTTCTAGGACGGAATGCCTAGCAGGTGATCATCAGTGCTTCCCCACGTTTCTACCCGTTGCGGGGACTTGGCCAGAGGGAATGATGAATCCGTATTGCCTAACGCGTCCTTTCCCACCCACCGCCCCTCCGGAACGCGTCCCCATGGCCCGTCCAGGCCCCGGGCCCGGCCCTGGGGAGGCAGGCACCCCTTGCCTGGTAAACGGAGCTAGGTAATGGAACCGGGACCGGGGCCAGGACCAGAACCAGGATCAAGGAGGGTGCCCGGGACCCGGCGCTAAGCCGAGGCGCAGCTTCCACTTCCTGTAAAGCTAGCGGAGTGCGCCAGTCATGCGCTGGAAGCGAGGGAGCCACACCGAGAAAAGAGCGTGCTTCGCCCTGGGCTTCTCGCTTGTACCCCAGATGTCTGGGCCGGCCCCTAGAACCGGAACCGACACGTCCCTCCCTCCCCACCTCCCAGGTCCAATTCTCTGGGCTCCGGAGGCACGTGGTCCATCCCCGCCGGACCCCCGCCGCGCCCCTTGCCAGCAGCCACCTTCCCGCACACCCCCTCCTCACAGCGCCTCTCGCTTCCCCTTTCCCTCCGCGCTTCCGCCCCCGCTCTCCATCGTCCTTCCTGATTGGCCGAGCGCGCCGGGGCCCGGCCGACCAATCGGCGAGCCAGGCTGGCGGCGAAGGGCGTGGCCGCGGCGCCGGGGCCCTCGGATCGAGGCCGCCTCCCCCTCTCAGCCGGCAGCACATTCCGCCGCGGTTGCCGCCGCCGCCGCCGCCCGGCCCCGCAGTTGTCTTTGCAGGAGCTGCCGTCGTGCTGTGGGGTGAGGGCGGGGGGGCGGGACGGGTGGGGAGCGGAGAAGGCCGCGGCGGCCGGAGCAGGTGACAGAGGAGGAAGGAAGCGGCGGCGGCGCGGCGAGCGCAGCGGCGGCGGCGGCGGCGGCCCGGTTCCTGGGAGTGTCGGTGCGGCGTGGTGGTTGGGGCGGATCCCGCGGGGCCCGGGCGGGGGAAGGAGTCACCGGCCCGGCCATGGCGGACAACGAGAAACTGGACAACCAACGGCTCAAGAATTTCAAGAACAAAGGCCGCGACTTGGAGGTAAACTCGGGGGCGCCGGCGGGAGGGGTGGGGGCCGCGGACCTCGGACCGGTCCCCGCCGGGACTTGGAGTTTGGGGAGTCGGGGCGGGAGCGGGAGCCGGGGCCGCGGGCGGGGTGGGGTGTGTGGGTGGGGGGGGGGGGGGGGGAATGGCGCTGGGGGCCGGCCCGTCCGTGACGCCTTTGCTAACGCGCCGGGAAGTTTGTGTGGGGCCTGGGCCGCCTCCGCGGGGAAGCGGGGTGCCGCCGGCCGGCGCGGCCTAGGCCTGCCCGGCGGAGCCGGTCCGGTGCGGGCGTGAGGGGCCGGGCCGCGCCGCGGGGACGCCGGGCGCGGCGGGCGCGGCGGAGGCGGGTGCGCGCCGCTCCGGCCCCGGCGCGGCCCGCATCCCGGCGGCCGCGGAGACCCCGGCTTTTCGCTCCGGCACCGGCATTGGGGGCCGCGGGGAGCAGTGCGGTTTGGGGGGACAAGGAAGGGGATAGGGGGCGGCCAGCGTTGTGGCGAACAGAGTGGGACTCACTCGGAACTTCCTCGGCGAGGCCCGAGGCCTCTCCACTTAAAGGCATTTTTTCTTTTTTTTCTGATCTTGCCCACTCCCATTTTTCCTCTGCGTCCTCCCTCCCAATATCTAAACTACAAGAGTCAACTTCTGTTTAAAAAAAAAAAAAAAAAGGAAAAAGGAAAAGAAAGAAAGAGAAAGACGCCCCCGGCGTGAGGGGCCATTCTGGTGATGCTAACGCTGCCTTCCTGCGGCCTCGGTTTTACGGTGGGTTCAGCTGATTCAAGATGTGGCTCACGGGGCGGCCTCTTTCCCAAGCAAAGGACGCCCCTCACTTCAAGCTTGTTCGCAGACCTCTTTACCCCCTCCCGTGAGACCCCCAGCTGCATTCTGACATGTAAGGTCCAAAGGGCTGTTACAAAGCTTTCATCCTCTAGCCCTCCACCTGCTGGTGATGGTAGTGGGGGAGGGGGTGGGCTGTGCAATGGCACCATCACATTTTGTTATTTTTTTTTTTAAAGGGGGTGGGGGGAACCCGCCAACTTTAATTAACACATATAGTTGTTCCAGAGGTCCTAGGCTTAAGTGTGTGGGTTCAACACACGTGCACCACACAGATTTTTGATAAATTTCTTCCCTTCAATTTAAGAGTTTAGGTATATAGGGTTTCGTTGGTTTTTTTTTTTTTTTTTAATCGTTCTGCATCTGAATCGAAAGTTTTCTCAAGAGAAAGTGGTAGTGTTTTTATGTTGTTCCTCTGTACTTTTTTTTTTTTTATGCTGAGAGGTTCAAATTCCCATCACCCATCTCTGAACTTTGCCCATTTGCTTGACTGAAATAGTAACTTTTGGGGGGCTTTCCACAGAGCCATTTGAGCTCTTACGGCAGTTTGTGCTGTCTTGATGGGTTTTTCATGGTTTGAGAAACTGTTCAATAGCTGGGACTAGGCTATTCTCTGTTTTAAAAGTTAAAGTGGGGGGAGGGGTCACAAATGGCAAAACTTAAAAACAAATACAGTTACAAAATCCAGAAAAATAGCAATTAGGTGCTTGACAAATCCTTTTCCCTCCATCTTTAGCTACATTTTAAATATATATATATATATATTATTGTTGATTTCAGAGAGGACGGGAGAAGGCGAGAGAAATGGAGACATCAAAGATAAGAGAGAATCATTGATTGGCTGCCTCCTGCACACCCCCCAGTGGGAATCAAGCCTGCGACCCTGGCATGTGCCCTTGACCAGAAGAATCAAACCCGGGACCCTTCAATGCACATGCTGATGTTCTATCCACTGAGCCAAATCAGCTAGGGCTTGGCTACATTTTTTAATTGATACATAATTCTTACAGATCACCCATTTATAGTGTTTTTTGTTCTTTTCACATTGTTGTGCAATTAACAGTACAGTCACTCTTAGAACATTTTTATCACCCCCAAATCAAACCCAAGCTCATTAGTAGTCACTCTGCATTTCCCATTCGCTCTATCTTTTAAGGTTTGCCTATTCCTAACATATCTATACTAATAATCTAAACTAATAAAAGGGTAATATGCAAATTGGTCAGGACATCTTCACAGTAACAACCGAACAGCAGGCTGTGTGGGACAACCAGGCTGGCAGGGGGATTGGTGAGGGACAACCAAATGGTTGACCAGCAGGCTGTGTGGGACAACCAGGCCACACAGGGGGGGGCAGTTGGCAGCAACCAGGCTGGTGGGGGTGGGGCACTAAGGGGCGACCAGGCCAGCAGAGTAGGGGGGCAACTAGGCTGGCAGAGAGGGGGAGGTAGTTGGGGGAGACCAGGCCAGTGGGAGGGCAGAGGCAGTTAAGGGTGATCAGGCTGCCAGGGAGGGCAGTTAGGGGTGATCAGGCAGGCAGGCAGATGAGCAGTTAGGAGCCAGTGGTCCCGGATTGTAAGAGGGATGTCCCACTGCCGGTTTCAGCCCGATCCCTGGGATCAGGCCAAAACCGGCAGTAGGACATCCCTCAAGGAGTCCTGGATTGGAAAGGGTGCAGGCTGAGCTGAAGGGACCCCTCCCCCGTGCACAAATTTCATGCACCAGGCCTCTAGTATATATATATATATATATAAAAGGCTAATATGCTAAGTGTCTGACCGACCGGTTGCGATGACACACACTGACCACAAGGGGACAGACGTACAACACAGGAGCTGCCGAGCTGAAGTGACTTGGATACAGCAGTTTTCAGGTGACACACCATGAAACCAGAGAGGAAGAAGCCTGTTTCCTCACAGGGCTGCACAGTTCTACCTTTGGTGGTGGGCTATATAGCTGGGGCACTGTTGGCACCAAATCTGGTTTACTACACACTTGTGTTTGTGTTCTACACCCTGTATGACAGCAACTTTGCAGAGTGCCCTCTCGCACTCTGGAACCCCTCAGGATGTCACAGCTAGTTTCGGCCCGATCCCTGCAGACCAGGTCGAGGGACCCGACCTGCTGGAGGGACTCCGCTCGCTCCACAGAAGCCCTTGGCACTGTGGCGCTGCCCCACGTGCAGCTGGCCAGGGAGGACCATGAGAGGTTGACTGCAGAGTGTGTCCAGCCCATCTCACCCAGTCCTGCCCCGCTGGCCACCTTCTAATTAATTTCCTTTCATTGTACATGAATCCTTGAACCAGCTCACTAGTCCTATATAATAAAAGGCTGATATGCAAATTGACTGGATGGCAGAATGATCTATTGCTATTATACGCACCACCAGGGGGCAGATGTTCAATACAAGAGCTGCCCCCTGGTGGTCAGTGAGCTCCCACAGGGAGAGCATCACTCAGCCAGAAGCTGGGCTCACAGCTGGCGAGTGCTGCAGCGATGGCAGGAGCCTCTAGTTTCATATAAATAGACAAAATATATGATCTTTTGTGGCTGGCTTCTTTCAGGTAGCACCATGTTTTTAAGGTTCACACATGTAACAAGAATGTATCAATGCTTCATTCTTTTTTATAGCTGAACTAAAGGCTGGGTGCATGAATTCATGCACCATTGGAGTCCCTCAGCTTGTCCTGCAGGATCAGGCTGAAACCGGCTCTCCGACATCCCCTAAGAGGTCCAGATTGCAAGAGGGTGCAGGCCAGGTCTTGGGACCCCACTAGTGCACAATCATGGCTGAAAAGGGACATGTGAGGTTGGCCAGCCGGGGAAGGACCAAGGAAGGGCTCCAGGCTATGTCTGGCCCGTCTCACTCAGTCCCAATTAGGCAGAACCCAGCAACAAGCTAACTGACTAGTCAGAGCATCTGCCCCCTGGTAGTCAGTGCACATGATAGCAACTGGATGACTCGTCAACTGTCTGCCCCTTCCTGGTCAATGCACGTCTTAGCGAGGTTGAGAGGCCTTAGCATTTCATTAGCATATTACACTTTGGTTGAATGATGACCAAACACTTAGCATATTAGGCTTTTATTATATAGGATAATACTTTACTGAATGGCTATACCATATTTTGTTTATCTGTTCAGTTGATGGACATTTGCATTGTTTCCACTTTTTTTCTATAATGCAGCTATGAATATACACATTTTTGTGTAGACCTATGTTTTCATTTCTCTTCGGCTGTATACCTAGAAATAGGGGTCACACAGTAACTTTATGTGTAGCACTTTATGGATTGCCAAACTGTTTTCTTAAGTAATTTATTTTTTTTTAATTGATGTTCCCCCTTACTGTGTGTGTATCTCTTATTTAGTCAAAATAAGATTAAGTGCTGATTCTACATTAGAACAGAATTATTATTTATGACTTCTAAAAATACACCCGTTAGGCAGATTTTTATTTATTTTTTTTAGATGTTGATAGTGCCTTTTGGGCATCTTATACTAACTTTAATAGTACCTTAGGGATATTTTCACTTTTCCACCTAAGGAATGACAAATTACTATAATGGAAAATCATACTTTCTCCTCACTTGTGACTTACTTAAAGCCTCATATGCCTGTATTGAGATAAACATTTTTTATTATCCTTAGCGCACACTATTTATGTATTTATTAATTACATATATGTCTGTGTCTCGGAACACTTAATTATTCACTTTTCTAAATATATTACTATGTTGTACTGCAACAAATTCTAAAACAGTATTGTTTTTTGGTTTGGTTGTAATGACATCACCTGTTTCATTGAAAAGTCTCTCAAGAAGAATGAACCAGTGCTGTCCAGTGAATTTTATGTAATCCAGTATTACCATTGTAACATATAATCAATGTAAAAAAAAAAATGAAATGGTTTTTATTTTTTCATACTAAGTCTTCAAAATCTAGTTCATATTTTACACATAGACCTATCTCAGTTTGGACTAGCTACTTATCAGATGCTTAATACCTGCCTGTAGTTGTCTACCTTATTGGACAGCACAGATATAGAATATAGAGTGAAATAATTGTAGCATTTTTCAGTTTATAATCTAACATTCTTTCAAAATTACAAAGAATACAAAGTAGTTTAATCTGATCTCTAACTTTGTAACCTTGGGAAAATCAG